CTGGATCTAACCAACACGTTTATCCACTGTGCCATGTGTCCTTGAGAACATCTGTGTAAGAATTTCTGGGTATTATAAACCTAATGACTCAGTGTGAGTTCAATACCCGGTTAAGGCAGCGGAGAACTTTCAGAGGGAAATTAACAGGAGATAACTGATAACTGACATCCATTAGACATGTCACGTGGAACTAGAACAGTTTACCCCAGTGAGCGAAATAAAGGGTTCAGTTCGACATTACAAACCACCTGAAGAAGGCTGGAGCGTACAACGGCCGAAACGTTGTGATAAATATGGTGACAAAATGAGGACAATAGTCGGAATAATGTAACTAATGTACATAAAACTTCATATCAGAAATATATACAGATACTGAAGTGTTCATTTGTTCCCCTTCTCTATATTTTTTTTTTTTTTTTTGCTTACACTTCCATCCATAGTATTCTCGTCATCTGTTTTTTTTTTAAATAATCTCTTGATTGCTTGAAGACTCCCTTTTTATCTCTCAGCTAAATGTCAAGCATTCAGTCTTGTATCGAAGGATTTAGACACTATTTTCTTTGTTTCTAAATAAATTTACCGTTTCTTAATTTGGTTGGTTAGTGGAAAGCCGGTTTTCGCAATTCCAGTATACCTTCGGATTTCGGAGTCACATTTTCCGTCACTTTCTATGTTATATTTTCTCAGATATTTAAATATCTGAATGTATTTGATTACCACTTCTCAAAGTCGTTACCCTCATTTTGAACTGACTCTCTTTCTAACAGCCTGAATATTTACAATTAGTCCTTTTTTTACACCTCATCTAGTTCTTTCTATAGAATCAAAATTTTATCAGTTTGTTTTCCATAGTATTTCATTGGGATAATTGAAAAAGAAATGGTTATGACACAATGGTATTTCATTTAAATATCATTAGTGATACAATGGTATTTTTGTAGTAATTTTATATTTAAATGATAGTGTTATTATTTTTCGTTAGAAAACCAAATATAACTTCAAAACATATGTGTACTGTTTAATTAAAACATCATGCGCATGGTAATATTTCTGTTAGATGAGCAATATTTCAGCCTTTGCCAATTGAGGTACACCTCCTGTGTTTGTCACGTTCGGTAAAATTCTTGGAATTTAGAACTGAACTCATTCTTCAATCCACGCGAGTATTTTTTCCCATTTCGTTCTCTATGTATATTGCATATACTCTAACTGTCATTACTGTCCAACCTGATTATCTTGTCTCATTTTCTCTTTTCCCTCATCGAATCAGGGATTCTGACATTTTGCACACTAAATCACTCAGGGGTTGAATGCACAACGGTTAACAAAAATATTTTAACTAGCATTAGGCCATGGGTCATTTGTACGAATGTAAAAATAAAAACATATAATAATGGCAACTTTTCCCCTCGAAAATGACGATATATATTATAACATTTTTATTTTATTTTCATCTCAATATCTCTTGATATACAATGACGATAATTTATCAAAAGGATTTATCATGAAATGTCATATCAATGATCAAATAATATTCACATTTCTTTTAGTATCACATTGCATGATTTCAGACGTCTGTCCCTTAGTATGTTGTGTTATAGTTAAGCCTTTCCACATCGCTATGTGAACCAGGAACATTTCGGAAGGAGTTACCATTTATTTCAATATAGCAGCAGTTACCAACATGGCTTGGTCCGATGTAAACTACCTTTATTTAAAACATTTTTTAATATTGGTTAATCTGTAATTTCAACCCAGAGAGCTTTTCATGTTCATTTCATGTCGGAATGATGCTCTTCTGGATAGAAAATCGATACTGCTGTTGGTTAATAATTTCAGTGTCACAAGTTCAGTGCTTAAAAGAAAGCCACATTGAAGAACTGGAAGCGCTCGAATTTCCGGTTGAAAACTTTTACAAACGTTTTAAATAGAAACAACTATTGTTGCCATTTTAAACCCAAACGAATAAAAAAAACTGTTTTCATCTAAACACAGTTATTTTTTTAAATGCTGTTGATCTTTTATTTTTAACATGTGTGATCTATTTCTACCGCTTCATTTGCGCCTTTTCCTTCATCGAATCAGAGGCTCTGACATTTTACAGACTAAATCACTCAGAGGTTGAATGCAAAACGGTTAACAAAAATATTTTAACTAACTTTAGGCCATGTGTCATTTGTTCGAATGTAAAAACATATAAGAATGGCAACTTTTCCTCTCGAAAATTACCACATATATTAAACATTTTTATTTCATTTTCATCTCAATATCTCTTGATATACAATGACGATAATTTATCAAAATGATTTATCATGAAATGTGTTACTAAAAGAAATGTGAATATTGTTTGTTCATTTATATGATATTATTTGTTTATTTAGAACAAATAATATTCACATTTCTTTTAGTAACACATTTCATGATTCCAGACGTCTGTCCCGTAGTATTTTTTAGTCAACCCTTCTCCATATCGCCATCTGCACCAGGAACATTTTGATCGATAAATTATACTTTATTGGAGAGGCTGCGTAATTATTCAGCAAATCGTACATGCATTAAATATTGCTGTCACATCTGGCGTTTTATGTTTCTACTACATATAGAATGATTCTTGATAAAATATAAAGAATAATTTGCAATGTTATCCGTCCTTGTCTGGCAGATATGCATTACTCATTTTCACACCACTATAACGTAGTTTCCTTGCACATTTTATATAAATATTTCATGGTAATTTTTCTTGATTATCTTTCCACTTTGATACCTTGACTTTAAGAATTTAAGCCCAGTAATATATTGACAGGTAGATATTATTATATCCGAGTTGAATTCTTATATATAAAGTACAGTATTTGTGCGTGTGTGTATCCATGTAACTTCTCCGCTCCCACTGGTCCGATTTCAATGATTCATAACTCATTCAAAATACCGAAAAATGTTAGGGGAAGGGAACGATTTTCGTTAAGCTCAGATCCAGGGTTGCCAGATTATGTGAGGTTAAAAATATATATTAATATATTATACTAGCCATTATCATTGCTTTCAGGGTTCAAGGGGAGTAATTCTTTTTTCCTTTCGTATCCAAAATTACAGCCAACTTAAAAAGCCGTCCTATCGGGCAGCATTTAAGCTAGCTCCTGTAGAGGACTCTTTGTTTGGCCATCATCACAACAGCTAGGAAGAAGTAGATGCGATATGCATCAATAAACTAAAAAAAAACTCAAAATTGATCGCTGCATCTAAATATTGAACTAATGTCCATGCTTATCTTTTAAAAGTTCAACGTTAATTTAAATACAATTTGATATACGTAGATGCTTATTTTCCGTACACACAATTATTTTTATTTCATGGGTGACAGAACAGGAGACATTTTATAAGTTAAAATTAATATAGTATAAAGATAGGAAAATATGAATTAGAATTAGTTATACATTCAAAAGTTGAAGAGTTAAAGAAAGATAGCAGCTAAGTTAAACTTATATTATGGAATATATATGAATAGATGCGAAAGTGGAGCTCGATATTCCCAGGAATTCTGAGATTAATATGTCACAGTATTAATCTATAGTAATTTACTCGGTATTTCCTCTGTCCGCCCACTAGGACGAAATGTAACAGAAGGACTATTTTTAGGTGGAGATCCGAGTACGTACGCTCGGGACAGGAACAAAAATTCTTCTCAGACTCCGCCGGTTGCGCTGGTCACGGTGCGAGCAGAGATCCCTCCATTTGCTGCAATGGGAGGGCGCGGCCTCGGGCAGCTGTTCCCCAGGGCTGGATATGATATGTGTTATAGCATTATAGTAATTTACTCGGTATTTACTTGAACCCCCCACTGAGTCAGGTTGTTATACAAGGTCAGTTTTTAACGTGAGGACCCGATTGTTTTCACTCGGGCCGCTGGTCTAAGCTTGTCCAAACTGGTCAGAGACGGTCCAAGCTAGTAATAGCCGTGATACCACCAGCACAGAGACGGGACCCTGTGACCGGTAACTGTATTTACTTGAAACGAGTCAGGTTGTGACACAAGGTCATTTTTTAACGCGGGGAACAGAATGTTTTCACTCGGGCCGCTGGTCCAAGCTGGACATAGCTTGTATAAGCTAGTCATAGCTGGTCTTGGCTTGTCCTATCTGGTCAAGGCCGAAGCTGGTCCAAGATAGTCCTAGCCCTGATACCACCAGATCAGGGACGAGCCCTGTGACCGGTAAGTTTCCGAGCGCGTACACTCCTCCAAGGAGGGATTTACGCGCTAAAGTGATTTAAAACCATTATAGTAATTTACTCGCAAAATGTTCCGTATCTGTATTATATATTACCTACTTCTAGGCACTATAAGTCTCCAGGTTTAACTAATTTGCATATTCATTTTCAAAAAAAAAAGGTTTATTCATTAATTAATTGTCCTTCAGGACTTCTCTTTTATTCGAACACTGTTTTGATTTTTATACCAAAAATAGTTATCTTTAGGAATATCGTCTTATATATATGCAGACAAGTGTTTGAAATTTGCATTGTACTTGGTCTTCAACAAGTTAGCATCTATTTGTAAATCTTTCCTTAACTATCACAAGCCAATTTATGAATGAAATGATCATTTAAAATTTTTGTTTCAAAGATTTCATGTAGCGAATAAATGTTACTTTTCGAAGCGATAACGAGCAGGCGATATCTGCTAGTGGCTGAATATGACCATATATACTAAATGTTTATTGTCTCGAAATTCGCAATTATGGATCTCTCTTCCGGCCTCTTTCCAGTCAGATTTGATCGTCCAAAATTTAAATGCGATTGTCAACATTTAACTACTACGACCTTCAAATCTGTGCTTTTATTGTCTACTTAATATTAATTTCTCACTAGCAATAACCCTTTGCGTTTTAGTGGCTTTATCGCCTTGCTTACAGATAAAAACAAAACAAGCACATTTACAGACAAAATGTTCCACACTGATCTTCGAACGTCTTCGACATGTACTCAGATCTTCACATCAGTTAATGGCCGAGGGAAATGTGAGATTGTGGAGGAGAAAAAAAAAGAGTAAAATTAGAGAAACGCATTGTTAAGTAAATCAGTAACCAAGTGAAATACACGCAAAATCATTGGCAGTGAATCAACCTGGAAACCGCAAGGAAACAAAGAGTTGCAATTCAACATTTAAGCAAAAAGATAAATATCCCATTCCAAGAAAAAAAGAATTCAGAGAATAAATACGTTTATTCTCTTATCTAAGCAAGTTTAACGGATGGTTGAACAAGTAAAGAATTCCCTAAAGCCAATAATGGAAATGTGATGGCAAGAAAAAGAATATGGAAGTATAAAGGAAGAGAAGTGAGGAGGTAAAAACAATGATTCTATAAAGTGGGAAGGAATCAACGAAGGAGGAAATATATTACCAGAACCTGATACAGAGAATCTATCTATCTATCTATCTATCTATCTATCTATCTATCTATCTGTATAAATGTACAAATATCTGTCTATCTATGTATTCATATCTATCTATTTGTATAAATGTATTCCTATCTATCTACCTATCTATCTATCTATCTATCTGTAAAAATGTATTCATATCTATCTATCTATTTATCTATCTACCTACCTATCTATCTCTCTGTATAAATGTACTCATATTTATCTATCTATCTATCTATTATATTTCATATCTATTTGCACAAACACACACACACCTACATATATGTGTATATATGTATATATATATATATATATATATATATATATATATATATATATATATATATATATATATATAGGAAAATGAAATACCTAAATATAATCAACCGAATACGAGCGTGCTGGCTTTTATACACAGGTAAGCAAATAAATAATTACCAAATTTTGCCAAGAGCTGTAAACATAATAATGCTCGATGTGGTTAAATAGATATATATATATATATATATATATATATATATATATATATATATATATATATATATGAATATTAATAAATATGCATATGCCTACGTTTGCTGTGCGACTTAAATTTCGTTCGTTACCCAACTCATCGGACTCCAGATATATGCAGGGGTTCATAGTGGGATCGCGGACACATAGTTCAAAATGTATATGATAAGAAAATAGTACAAAATCAATGGTGGCTTTATGTGCAGAAAATGGGATGAAGTTAAGAGTCATTAAGAAAAACAAGAACAAAATTGAAGCACGTTTGAAATTTAAACGGGGGACTCACTTCTGTAGCACAGATAGGGAAAGTTTGTAGCATCAACAGACATCCGAAAAGCATGAAACACATTTTGCTCAAAATATTCACTAGAAATATGAATAAAGCAGTTAAAAACGATTATGAGTTTACGGCATTCTTCATCATAGAAAATAGTGTTCTACTGTAAAAACCTTTCTGACATGTTCATACCATTTGGCGTACCACACAACAGCTCAGATTGGCGACTGTATATATAATTTTCCAAGCTAGTTCTGGAGATTTTGTTCCTGCACAATAGGTATAAATACCAAATCATTCCTCTTTCCCACGGATTTCATCTAATGGAGTCATATGACAATATGCAGTTTATTTTGGGATCAGACAACAACAAATATTGCTAGTGGAGTTTCTATGAAGAAGTCAAGGTTATTTGCCTCCTTATGCAGGCGGCTTTCTCTGTTTCCTGGGACAGTCGGGCTATATTCATGTACTACAAACAGAATGAGTTGGGTGGTCTAGAAGCATTTCAATAACAACGGAACACTGTGTCCAAGAAAATCCTCTGGTGAATATGAAAAAGGTGCTTCTCCTTCTCTACATACTAGGATTGATCAGTTTGAAGAATTTCGTAAATGTAATGGACATGAATGGCTATGCTTTCCTATACCCAACAGAATAATCCACTCAGTACAAAGAGAGAATCTTCATCATACCTCAGAGCCAAGAGATACTGAAGGATAACGAATTTGAGATAATTCTTACTCTCTAGGATCTCTGAATTTTGGAGGCATTTTAGTCTATCCGACATCACTTCTTTGGTAACACATGGGGAGTCGATTACCAAGAACTGTTCCAGAAATCTGTAAAGGTCTATGAGGAAATGGTGATTTACTAAACGTAGCTTAGATGTGGCACAAGGCGGAAAGTATGAAGCACCTAATGAGGGGCGAACGCATTACTCAGTCGTAATTGCTCTATCGAGGTAAGCTTGTTAACCATTACATCACGTCAAAGTAAATCCAGGAGTATGAGGACATGTTTAGCAAATGGGACTCAAGTTTCGCTTTTACCATTCCCACCTGGAATTCCTCCTCCAAATCACAGAGCAGTGTCTGATGAGGACGGGGGAAGTTTCCATCAATATATTACAAAGAAGGAGATCAAGTAACAAAGCAAATGTAACCCAAGATGGGGATATGGACTGAATCCTTCTGCGCGACATTCCAGATGTAAAGTACACATAATCGGGCAAGAAAACCCACTTATGACTGTTTACTTTACGATAGGGTTCAGCAGAAATCATTCCCACATATTAAAGACTGACAGAAAGACTAAAGTAAAGCATGATTGGACAGTTATTGTTTGTAAACAAAGCGATACAAGTTGTATTAATTTGAGTTTTAAAAGGAAATCCTCCAAAACGATGAATACTTATTCACCTTACACTGTTTTTAGACGATGTGTAAAATTTGCCATCCGCCAGAAGTTCGAGCGATTCGCGGTGTTCCTAGTAGCTTTCATTTAAACGATTAACCTGTGACGCTAAAAGATTCAACCCATAGAAGTATCGATTTTCTATCCCGAACAGTATCATTCCGACATAACATGAAATTGACACGAAATATTCTCTGTCTTGCAATTACAGATTGTATGTTTCTTAAAGAAAAATCAAAAAACATTTCAACAGCAGACTCTGGGAGTGTACCGGTCCAAGCCATGATTGTAATTGATTGTATCTGAAAACAATGGAAATTTATTAGTTAGAAGAAGACACTACTGAGACATAGTAAGTTCATTGGCACCACACAGGTGACAATTTAAAATGAGGGAGGGTTTCGTCTGCTGCCTGTACACACACACACACACACACACACACACACACACACACACACACACACACACACACACACACACACACACACACACACACACACACATATATATATATATATATATATATATATATATATATATATATATATATATGTATATAATTTAATTTAAAGAAAAAAAGACCACTTTAACGCTCCATTGTAATAATTTATTTCACCAGGGAATTTATTTTTCCCTGGATCTTCAGACATCACTTTCTAAAGGTGAAACGAAAAATTAAATAAAAATTTACACTATTGACGGGCAGTATTAAGCTAATATAAGTTGAATTAGAGGGTGATGAGGAATGGTGTTAGAGACATGGTTGAGATTAGAGAGAGAAGGAAGAGTTTTAAAATTTATTTTTATATTTCTTTTTAAGATAATACTTAATATGAGGGAGTAGAGCGAATATAATTATTTATTTAAAGATTATAACATAAATATGTTATAAAATCACTACAAAATTTTGTTTTCAACACCTCTGGTGTCTTATCAAAATGATTGTTGAATGTAGATTGTAGAATCTACAATCTACATTCAACATCATCACTGATAAGACACGAGAGGTGTTGAAACAAAATGGGTATTTTTTAGTGATTTTATAAATATTTATGTTATATATATATATATATATATATATATATATATATATATATATATATATATTCATAGATCAAGGCAACTGGAGATGTCGATTGACATTACATTTGAATAGTTGGAGATTATAGCTATCAGGGAAACAGGAAAAGGGAAGGGAGTTCCACAGGCGAAAGGTGCAAGATATGAAGCTATTGGAGTAGAAGAGACGGCTACATTTGACAGTTTCAACATTGAAAGGGTGAGAGCGGGATGCCAGCCTCGTAGAACGCTTGGATTCATGAAGCCCGGGAACGAGCGAAAGCAGCTCATCGGAGCAATTACCATGAAAGTATTTGTAAAAAAAGACAGAGACAGGCGACGGCCCGTCATTGAGAGAGCGCCTGCAAACGAGATGCCAGATCAGGGCCAATTCTATTGCTTATCCGTCTCTGGATTTTATCGAGAACCCCGAGGCAAACAGAAGGAGCTCCTGACCATATATGACAGCAATGTTGTTTTACGATTATATGCATTATAGTAAAAACAGAAAAATTTAAACAAAAAAATAGATATAACACAGCAAAACTGCGAAAATTTTAATCCCCCACATGAAAAATATTACAAAAAGTACCTATTCCTCCCAAATCAGTTTTTTGTAATCCAGTGTGATCGGGTCTATTTAAAAGAAAGTGTATTTTAGTAGGCACTATACCAAAAAGAGTCCACGGGGTTTACGTTATTCTTAAACCCGTTTGCCCCAGGTTGTATGAATTTTTGTATATATATATATATATATATATATATATATATATATATATATATATATTCTGGAAAAAGAAATTTGATTCAAAGAAAGAAAGAATCAAGGATTAGCGTTTCAATATGTCTGATACGAAAGCAGAGAAAAATCACTAGTAAATAATTTATTGATATCGAAGAGGGTACTTCAGTAAACGTCTTTTTTTTTTGCAATACGGCGAATCTTGAATGTGGAGCATTTTATTTTGAGATCATTTTTGCATTGGATTTTTTGTTAAAAATACGATGAAAAACACTACTTTTAATAGAAAAGTACACAACTAGTAACGTAAATAAGCTGAAAGAAGGGATTAGAGTTTATTTACCGTCAACATTTTATTAAAAGAACAAACAAAGAAACAAATAAATTTGTCCCTTACCGTTGGTTGGTACTTCAAGATAAATGCTGTCAAATTCAGATAATTCAAAGTTAGGCAGAAAATGAGATGTATTTTAAGCGACGCATTTCATTGCTTCGTTGGTTTTTGTTTCTTATTTTCTTTCTGACGTTTGAAATTTTATTCATTTTGAAAATTTGTTTTTAAATAATTTTAGATATTTTCTGCTCTTGCTCATATTAATTTTTTTCTTTTATTCCTCGATATCTAAACTTTATTCCGCCATGTTTTTTTTGTTTTTTTTTTCATTCTTCTTTCTTTCTGGTTTTCCTTCCTCCTTTCTTTCTTTTCTCGCTTCCCGCCTTTCTTTTTTTTTATTTCCTATTTTCCTAGCCTCTGTACTTCTTCCTTCATCCATTCTCTCTCTTTTTCTTTCATTTATTCTTAATTACTTCTTTATTTCTTACCTCCTCTCCTGTCTTCTTTTCCTTCCTTCCTTTCTTCCTTCCTTCATTCCTTATTATTTCCTTTTATCGGTCATTCTATCTTTCATCCACCCTTTTTCCGTCCTTCTTTCTTCCTTTCCTTCTTTCTCCGGTTTTATTTATTTCCATCCCCATTCTGACCGTATTTCTTTCTTCGTTTTTTATTTACTTAATTCATATATTCATTCATTGTTTCTTTCTTTCTTTCTTTTTTCTTTTTTTCTTTCTTTCTTTCTTTCTTTCTTCTCTAGTCTTTACCTTATCTCCTTACGTTTTCCTTCCTTTCTTCCTTTTATCACACTTTCTTCTCCTTTCCATCAAACATGTTCTTTTCTTCGGCCAGTCCTTCTTTTGTATTGAAATATTTCAACACCGCTGAGAAGTTACGATTTCCTGAGGTGTTATAGAATACGCCTCAACAAAACACATTCAAACGTACTTCTTATTTTAGTCACCGAAAAGTCACCTTGGTCGATATAAAAAAAAAATCTATCGCCTCCCTCCGGTAAAATACCAATCAGTAGTGATCTGTGAATGATAATTCGAGTCCTGTTTAAGAAAAATTTTCTTTCATCCCTAGGGTATGAATGTGTTGTGAATAGGTTCTATCTTACTTTGCATTCATGTCTTCTGAGGGAGAATGATTCAAAATAAAATAGGTTTGCAGCTTTGAAAACAACTTCCAGTCAACAAGACAAAGAAGAATTTCTTTTCCTCTAATAATTTATAGAATTTCTATACGGTTGTTAGAAAGGTTTCTAGAGTTTTCTTTTGAAAATACGTGACTATTTAAACCTTTGCACACACTTAAGATATTGTTTAATATTTATGCTTATTATTTATAAAATTCAAAATAGATTTAAACGTAAAATTGAGTACAGCACTTCAATACCGTGTAGGTGTACGCTTTTAGAAGGCGACTACTCGAGATAGCACGGATTCTACAAGGTTTTGGAGTCGTTCCCGGCTATGTTTCAAGGCTCCATGTTGCTTATTATTGGTTCTAGGACATTTGCGTCCCGGACAATAGCGTACCAGGCAATTGTGTCCCGGACAATAGCGTACCAGATAATTGCGTCCCGTACAATAGCGTACCAGACAATTGCGTCCCGGACAATAGCGTACCAGACAATTGCGTCCCGGACAATAGCGTACCAGGCAATTGCGTCCAGGACAATAGCGTACCAGACAATTGCGTCCCGGAAAATTGCGTACCAGACAATTGCGTCCCGGACAATAGCGTACCAGGCAATTGCGTCCCGGACAATAGCGTACCAGGCAATTGCGTCCCGGACAATAGCGTACCAGGCAAGTGCCTCCCGGACAATTGCGTACCAGACAATTGCGTCCCGGACAATTGCGTACCAGGCAATTGCGTCTCTGGACATTTGCGGCTCTAGACAAATGCCTCATTGTATAATTTCGTACTATGATAATTTTTAAAGCTTTTAAAGTCAATTAAGTTAAATTTTGAAAAAAGCATAGGTGGTAATCATAAATGTTTCAAATGAAATAAAATGAATAAAATAAAAACATTTGATTAAAATGAAATGACAGGATTACAGTGATGCAAGATCGCTCTACACATCGTCAGTAAGTTTTTGCTTCATCTGTTTTTGTTATGATAGTGGTAGCTGTAATTTTCCCCGTCCATACATATTTTGATTTTCAGAATTAGCCATTGCTTCCAAATAAAAATATAATCTATAAAATCTATAGAGATTTGTGGTACGCACTGATAGAGAGAATTGGAACCACTAACTTAATTTTCTATTTCTTTTAAAATATTTTTTCTTTCTTTGTTTATGGTAACAGTATTTGGCTTGTTTAGAGCAATTAAAGGTATTGGTGTGCAAATTTCTATATTAAACAACTCATTAAAAAAATGGTACTTCAAGAAATTATCAGAGGTACGCAATTATCCAGGGACGCCTTTGTCTAGGGAGGCAAATATCCAGGGACGCAATTGTGTGGTACGATAGCGTCAGAGACTCAAATCTCTAGTACGCAACTCTCTATCCACTTTTATTATTGGTTGGCAGCAGCTATGCTTTTTTTGGTTTCAAACACGTCCAATGTAGTTTGAATCTAGAGATCTCAAAAGACAGTAGAGCACCTCGAATTTAGCTGACTGTTCTTCATAGTATTCTTCCGAAACACATTTACAATGCCTGTGCTGACCTGTCAGAACAAAATTTCACCATGGGCAAATATCAATATATCCAAGGGCTACAAATGATCTACAATTCATCTGCTATAGATTTCTTCATTCTAAGTTGTGCTACATGCAACCGCCAACACAGCACAACAAACACCACCAGAGAGCCTACAACAGTTTGAACATAATCTCGCTGATAGGAGATATACATAATCCTATGGTGTATCCTTCATACTCAATCAGTTCCGGTGCCGAAATACATCGTAAGCTAAATGTAGAAACATGATAACTTGTGACATTCTCAGATTAATCAAATTTCTAACGCTTTCGGAGAGGCATTTGGGTTTATATCCATAATGCTTTGAGACACAAGTTCTGGTACGATTTGCCAAAGTCAAGAAATGTCGAGCTTAGATGGGTGACCACTAGGAATGCCTGGAGTTGTACGCTCGGATGGCCGGAATGTGTAATAGCTAACGCTTGAAGAATGGAGATCGGAGAGTTGTGAAAAAGTGTGAATCCAATCCTTCTCACCAAATATGGTTTAATTAGTAGAACTCGTATCAGTAATTCATTATTGTCGCCACAAAGTCAAATCATCTCAAATCGTATTCTGGCTTTAAATAACATGAAATTTTTTGTCATAAAAAAAAATAAGCAGCAGTCGAGGCGAGTATCATATGAAAAAAAAGGATGCCCGATTTTAGAATCAACTTAAATTATTGAATTAATTTATTTAAACAACGTTTGAATCTGTAATTAATAGTTAGGTTCAGTTTCTTTGAACGCCAAGAAATATTTGAATGCAGTTTCAGCGTTTTCAAAGCGACAGAATATCTTTGTCTTAAAATATGTCATAATGCTTGAATACGTATGTCATAATGCTTGTATACGTATGTCATAATGCTTGAATATGTATGTCATAATGCTTGAATATGTATGTCATAATGCTTGAATACGCATCATGACATTTTTCAGTGGGCGAGACATCAGCATAATATAATGGATGTGACAAAGTATCATATCCCAAGTCGGTGACAATATTTGGTCGTGCATTTTCGTTAGGCTGAATTGAACGTCGTTGACTAATCAGTGCAAGTCGTATTTTGCTTAGCTGAATGTGAATTTCCTAGAGTTTATGACATTTTCGCATTGATGCACTGGTTATAATCTGTAATGAAGAAACCAATGACTGGCCACAAAATTGTCACAGAATCTTCAGTTGGTGCAATTTCGGTTTTGAAAAGGGTTGGCGTCTTCGTGATGTTCAAACCATTTAGCCGATCGTTTACGATTGTCATAGAGGATCCGTTTCTCATCACAGATCAATATTTGATCAAGAAATTAATCGTTAGAATCTCGCAGATGCAGCAGCGTTCGCGCGTCAAAATGGTAAATTCTTTGATGTTTACTGCGTTCATGTGGAACGTATTTATCGAGATTATTCCTCCTATCAATTTCATTGATATTGTTGAAATGCCCAAATTCATTATCTGTGATATTTCTTTGGAACTTTGTCGAAGCTTTTGTTCAAATTGTGAAATTATAATAATCATAATATATTAGAAAAGTAAATATTTATTAAAAAATAGGATATTATTTCGATTACAACCAAATATCCGAGTCTCAATAAGAAACAAAGAAGAGAAACAACCACAATTAATATGTATAAATACCTTAGATTAGTCATGAGAAATGATAGCCATACTTATACATTCAATATGGAAGCCATCACGGAAGGATATAACTATATCTTTTCCTTCTGAGAATTAATCTAAATAGTTTGCACATCATACTTGCTGTTCTTTCGCCGAAAAGATTGCTAATCTATGATCCATATGTCAATACGTAAGGCTGAACCATTGAGTTGTAAACTTGATTATCTTACAATGCGATACACTGCCTGGCCTCCGCATTCCTGTATAGATGTACTCTGGTTTTAGTAAATGATACCGTGATACCAATAACAGTTCTTCCCCTGTGAAGTACAGTCTACCTTGTACTTTTACATTGTGATGGACTAGACGAGCCGAACTCAATTTGAATTTCGATGTGTTTTCATAAACTGTCCTAATTTGCTTGGTGGTACAATCTTTTCATTAAACGAAAGTTCAGTTCTTTGATCAGTTTTGAGCGCCCGCTATTTTTACGTGTCCATGATGTAAGTCCCGAATTCAGTAATATTCATGCTATCGTGTTTCTACAATTACCGACAAAAAAAATTAGATATAAAGAGTTTTATGAATATTGAGGTTCCAGTGATGTTGAATGATGTTCGTTTTCCACAGCTACCACAGTTTGAATGACACATCTGTACCACACCTAGTTTTATTTTTTTATGTCTAAGATACATCACTCGGCATAGAAAATTTCCACATGTAGCAGAAAGGTAGAAAAACCTATTGAAATGTTTCCAATTTTCCTCCCTTTAGTTTATATCAAACTGTTCATGTTTCATACCGTATAAGAATTAGTGGAGGGAATTAAACTTCATTTCACACTGGTGCTTAAACGTACTAAGTAATGAAAGCCAATGTTGGGAGAAGACCTTCTCCGTGATAAATGGACAATATAATATTACCATACAAATATACGTACACATTTAAACACACAGTCATTGTACTTAGGTCATATAGGACATAAATTAATGGAATCGTCCGTTTATGTCAATAAGTAGAGTTGGGGAGAGTCATCATTTGGTCTTAGCTGCGCGCTAAGCACTTAATGCCAGGCAAACTCTCTGTCTTCGGTCAGAGAACAACACAAACGAGGCTATGCCGAAGGGTAGACTGTCGTCTGAGGAGGTAGACAAACCCGACCTCGTTATTACAGGGTCGACAGGGAATTTTTGCCCAAGCCTACGGGCTCGGAAAAACCCACGTTAAACCGGCCTTATGCAGCATCCAGATATGTGAGGAGCTCGGGTAAATACCGAGTCAGCATTAGGTCTTAGCCGCGCTCTAAGTACTTAGTGCTTGTTGAACTCTTTGTTATCGGGCCAAGAGGAACACAGGCGAGGCTATGCTGAAGAGCAGAGACTCGTCTGGGGAAGTAGCAGTTACCCGACAAAGTTTACGGGAATTTTCCCCGGGCCTACAGGCTCGGAAAAAACACCTTAAGCCGGTCTTGTACCATATCCTGCATTGTGGTGGACTCGGATAAATAGCGAGTTAACATTAAGTCAATTGCTAAATG